CAGCAATAGAATTATGCATGCGCGGAAAATAGAGGCATAAAATAGTCTAAAAATGAAAAGAAAAGAAATTTAGAGGATCTTAAAAATTTTAAAAACCCTCTAGTAGTATTTATTAAGAAAAAAAAACTTTAGTACATTTTTATCATATATGAACAATGAACTTTTTTAGAAAAGAACAAAGCAGGCAACATTATTTATGTGCATATGACCAGGCTGGCTGAATATGCGTTAGGGCAGCGAAAAAGTGAATACCAAATAATCCAATAAAGAAAATTTGGTGATACAATTGTGAAAACCATTGGTATTCAAGTTTTGGATTATTGGGAGTAGTTTGAAATTTTTTATTTTATATATTTGGAATGTAGATATATAAACCATGCACAATATATCATACGATACATAATTTAGAAAATTTTTATTTAGAAAATATATAATATGTTAATCCGAATCAAAATGTCAAAAGATAAACCAATTTCGATATGAAATTTTTAGGTTAAAAAAAATTTGGTCATATATTCAAATAGCATGGAACATATATTAGTTCATTTTGTTCTGGAATTCAATTTCATCCTAACTTATTTTGGCGTGGATTTATTGTATAAACTAAACCCTCACTACTGATTATAAGATTAAGGTTGTTTTCGTGTATGGAGATAGTAACAAATAGGTAAATTGTGTTGCTTTTATATTATTGTCTCTCATCCCCTTTTATAATATGCCATTAAAATAAATCTAGAAAACAAAAGAGAAGGTGAAAGGAAACTCAAATAGTAATGAGGGAACACAATCAACATCTTTAGGAGGAAAAGACAAATGCAACAAAAGAATATATATTTAGTTGAAGAATGGCTAAGGCGCCTCTCCATCTAAGCTATTTGCCTCATCACCATCCATGCATATGCAGAAATTCACACATTATTATATATCAGAAAAATCAAATTATATCTATATACCAATGCAAATGTATGATTGTGAAAATTTTCAGAGGCCCTTTTCCCTTTTGGTTTCATATTCTTTTTGACTAGAACATCAACAACAAGAACATATATTTTCTTTTGCATATATGCCTTTGAAGTTCCAATTCAAACCACAAAGTGATAATTGGTATAAGTAATACCAACTTGGGTGAATAGTAAAATGATATGTATAGAAATGAGTAAGATGGTACAAGTAGTACATATGCTATGAGGAATTTTTTGTTTGAATGGGTAATCTGGTATAGATAGAAATGGTTTGTTCAAGTAACTGGCATAATCACGCAAAAGTTCTAAGATAGTATTCTTGTACTATTCACTTAGGCAATACTGTAAAAAAAATTCAATGACGAGCTTAAGCAGTTGAGCAAGCCTTTCAATCATGTGCTTAATCAAATTACTTAGAGTGAAGTAGGTACCGAGTTTCTAGACGCACAACCTTATGGGCCGTTGAATGTTAAAACCTAACACCACAACAATACTAGATGTGTTGTAGGTTGAACTAGCTTTTGACATTGTATCAGAATCGTCAATGGCTGAACTATTGTGTAGCATGCAGGAGTCGAGATGAAAATTAATTAAATGTACGAGTTTAATGAAGTTTTGTAAATCAGAAAAATAAAGTAACTAAATGTATAGTCAATGCTATGTGAACCGTTCTTGGAGGGGATCGAGAGTTCTATATGAATAATTCCAAAAGAATAAATTTAGTTGGACTTATATTATATGCTATATACTATACGTAATAAAAACCCATGAGGGGTTATTAATGGTCGTAAATTTAGAATATATCCATTATATTCTTCTCTTTGCTTCGACGACCATCATTTTTTCAACCCATAATAAACACTAAATTTCAATCGTACACCATGGAAATGGGTATACCAATGAATGGCCTAAAACTTACGAAGAAGAAGAAAATTTCAGTTGATGAATAATTAGGGAATATTATATGTGATATAGAGTCTTTGCTTTATACTTTTCATTGCATGATTCCCTACCAACTAACTTAGATGATGAAATGATCATTCTAGGAGATCAACTACCATCTATCTATCCAATATCCATAGTTGGTTTATTGAAATTGAAAATTGTGTTACGAATTTATAGCCATTCATATGGTTTTAAGAAAGTTATATCATTCGATTGTTTTTTCAGCCTACTTTGATACAAGGACGACATTATGCGCGTTAGCTCTATCATGTTCTCATCAACCCATCGTCTTCTAACTCAATATGTTGTTGAACATTTTAATCAATAAATAATCAATCCAAGTTTAAAAATATGTATTTACATTCTATCATCGTAAACGACTATGCATATTCAAGTACATACCATTCCCCATCTACATGCCTATTCTCAATCCTACCCATGATAGGAAAATGGTGGTATCGTGCAAACGAGTCGCAAAGGACGACATGCAAATAATTACTATCACTAGATCAATGGAGTACAATCATACTATGGCTTGGGACCATATAACAACTAACAAAGTTACATCAATGGAATGGAAACTGTAGTACTACACTGTTCTTTCATTTCTAGTGGGAATATATATTGCAAACGAAAGGACACTTATTTTGTGTAATGCACCAGGAAATGTGTTACCTCATTCATGCAAAGGCTCCAGGTGGGTTTATAATGAGTGGCCATGGCTGAATGATGATTGAATTGATGCCTGCATGCAGTAGTGATCAGTAAAAAATGAAGACCATGCAGTAACTTCTCCTTTTTACTATGCAATATCTCTCTAGCAAGAATATGTGGATCTAGCTTAGCCAGAGGATTGGTGAATGGTGATCATCATCATCATGTCAAAACTCTTATAAGGAGAGGGCCAACTTGCTGTTGAGAGGACCTATTTCAGATTGGGACAGACATTTTAGGATTGTACAGACACAGAAATGATTATGTGTTTCTTTCACCAACATGTTACTATGTTGTAGTGGCAATGTCTTTGGTGGTTATTTAGTAGGAGGGCAGTGTGTGGAGAACAATGAATTTCGAAGATATAATCACAACTTACGGTGAATCTAATATATTTGTATTTAGGTATTGTAATAGGGTATACTGTACAGTCTCACAACTTTTAATTGAAAAAATTTGCCCATCAAGAAAATAAAGAGTTTAATTTTGAAAATGTATTCATGATGATACGTACGTGAAGTATTGAAATGCACAATTTCCCTTAATTTCAAACACGCAAAATAATTGACTATCAGAACTGAAATCCCAAAACCTTATTACTTAAGTTATAATGAACCGAAATCGCAAATCAGAAGATGATTGATGAACTTAGAAAAACATTAATATTCAATCTGAGCCACCCACAAACCACAATAAGAATGAGACACGTAGCATAGTACCAATTGAAATATAAGATGCAAATTGAAAATCCATTGATATTGTGGTATTATTTTAGATTATAATAATTAAATGAATTATAATCAAGTTGATCCCTCTACTAATCAGAAATCGTATCTGTAATGTTATGGTTCATCGTATCTCTCCCTTTTTCTCTTTCGGATCAAACATTTATTGGTTCGTTATATAAAAATAAAATTGCCCCCAACGAAGTGGGAACCTTAGAAGTTAGAACCGCACATTCCATATTAATATTTATTTTCATAAATTATGAATTATTATTGCAGCCAGCTAATTAGTTGAATAGTTATGATACATCTTCGACCGTCCAATCCCTTCATTGCTGTTGTAGTGTTGTCCAAGCGACTAATGCCAACCCCTAGAGATTAATTAAGCTTTAATTTGCTAGAACAATTGCGGCGCTTAATAGTTAATTTACTAACTAATTAGGTAGGAAAATCCCATTGTTAATTGTTTAATCTTAAACCTAATTTACTCGAGAGTGCTATAGTAGGTACATATCTCAGCTTAATACATGCTAACTAATGGATACAGCCTAGCTAGTTGTGATCTTCACAAATAATTTTCTATAATTTTATGTCGATAAGTCAATCGCACAATATACAGGTTCAAGCCTAGCTATTAAGTAAAGCCTTCATAACCTATTGGAATTTGGAAGCCCTGAATATATAATGGATTGAACATTAACATATTTCCTATAAATTATGGCCTATACCATTACTCGATACTCGTTATACTAATTCTACAAATAAGAATCATAATTATGATTAATAATTATGCCAATTGGTACAAATGTTTAGTCCGAAATTTAAGAAATTGTTCAGACGAAACTTCAAGTCTTCAACCAAGACCCGGGTTTGTAAATGACACTATCTCGTTCCTAGAAAAACATGCTAGTGATCGAGTGGGGCTAGCTCTCGATCTAACTAATGATCACGACCAAAACTTGTGAATGGGGATAAGGGACACTTAACATTAATTTCCATGCTTTCATTTTACGGCCGCCGTTGTTGTTATTGATATCAAACATTTATGATTCGCGGATCTTGAATGACCGCCGGATAAAACCAAAATCAGTAGCATTGGAGAATTGTCAAGTTGATCCAATATTTTTTCAATTAATATATAAAAAAAATGCATATAGTGAAAATGATAAACATGCATAAAAACTACAAGGGATGCAACTTGCAAGCGGGAGAAGGGCCAAACACCATTCAATTGATCGAGGGTGTTGTTGATCCCTCTATTTGATGATTGGTTTTGGTTAGGGCTTGGTCATATATAGTGTTCTTGGAAGCCGAAGTTAGTATCAGGATGGGTTACAACAAAAGTAGTTGGAGATGTTGACAGATTAAAAGCTCTCCCAGACAACGTTAGTTTTGCATCACATTCTCTCCTTTTCGACTCATTATCTGTCATCGAGACCAGCATCCTAACCAGAGGGTGAAGAGATGCTTGTGGAAAGATGTTCCCGTCTTAAAAATGGTTGTAGATGCATTAAAATGGTTGCCATAAAATTTGAAAGAACAATTCCATGAAAATGTTTCAAGATTTTTGTATATTTTCTTTGGGCCTAACTTACCAAATAAGTCAACTAGTCATGAAGTGAACCATATATATGTCTTTCATAGCCAAAGTATGATCAATTGGCGACTTTCTTTCAATAGTTAACGATTAAATTTCAGTCCATCTCACAATGTATACATTAGAACCAAAAAAAGTCCTTTTGATTTTCTTATTCCATAACGTTCTATTGGCTTACACTGTACATCTGCAGTTCTCCACTGGGCTTGGTTTCCAGGCCCAATTCTCTTAACTAACTCAGAAAAAGCTCTAATTGAAGGGCTTTAGGCCCATCATCTGACTAAAACTAATTAACCTCCCCGTCTCAACAGCTTCAGGCTTTTAGTCCACTTCGTTGACAATTTCTTCCCCAAGCTCGGGCTCGATCGCAGGGCAAACCGCGACCTCGGCGGCGATTTAACCGACGACGACGACGAGGAAGAACCACCGCTGCCGGAACCGGAGAAATCCGAGAAAGAAGGAGAAATCTCCGGGCGAAACTTCGCGTTTCTGGAGAAATACTCCCTGAACCCCCGCCCGCCTCTCCCCGAACCACCATCACGCGGCGATCCCGGCGAAACCCGAGCCTTCACCTGCCGGAACTTCCTCCCGGCGATCCTCAGCTTCCTGTGCGCGCGATTCACGTTCCTCCAGAAAAAAGCTCTCACCATTTCCTTCTGCCCCGCGGTCAGCCGGGTCGGGACCCGACCCGGTATTTTCCTCAATTTCCCCGCCACCAGATCCGAAATTCCCGATGCGAATTTCTTGATCCGCTTCGCCAGGAAGCTCCTCTTCCGCCCGGACACTCCCGGCAGGTTCCTCAGGCTGTGCGACGACGCCGATGACAGCCGCGGCGCGGTGGTCGGAGATTTCCTGGAGGAGAACCGCCACCCCGGCGGCGGCGGGAGCAACGATTTCGGCTGGATCCGCGGCGTCCCGGGCTGAATTTCCCAAATGAAAGGAACCCCGCCGCGGGAGATCTGGTCGGAGCTGCTGGCGGAGGAGCTCCGGGAGACGATTTTGTTGTAGAATGATGGGTTTAGCTGGTAGAGTGAGATGATGGTTCTCTTTTCTCGTCTCGATTTGTTGTTGATCAGCTCCATCGCCATTTTTTGCTTAGAGCTTGGTGGAATTTTTTTTTTTATAAAAATATATAATGTGATTCAGAGAGTGATTAAGAGAGAGAGAGGGAGAGTGATTAAGAGGGCTAATAATCCAGATTAATAGGCAGGAAAATCTCTAACTTTCTGGAATTGGTTATGAACTGAGAAATAGGGCAACATTGTAACTGTGTAGATAATATATATCCCGCAGGGGAGGAAGTTACAAAGACTTGGGATTTGGGGAATCCCACTTGTCGTGGATTTCATTGCCTACTTTTAGTATCCAAAGATGTGGATTTTTCATTAATGCTTGTAGAATATTATGGCCACTGGTTAATTGCTTCTTTGCATTTTGAGGTTAGTTTCTATTTAAGATGCCCTAGTAGTTATCTAGTTGGGATGGGGATAAGATAGAATTGAAATTATACTATTTCTATTTATTGCCTATTTATCGGAATTTTTCACGCTCTTATTAATCACGTGATGCATTCAACGTGCAGAGAGAATATGGAATAATGTGAATGATTTCTAATATTTTTTTCTTCCAAATTTATTAAAAGATGTAAAGAATAAATTATCGTTATGTGTGTCAGTTATAATTTTAGTATAAAGACATGAATACATCCTGCATGATATAGCTCGCTTTGACTTTGATTCTATCACGTCCTATTTTAAGGTTACAAATTAAACTCGAAACTTAATCATGATCTTTAAGCTGATACAATGTACTTCAATTCAAAGATTGCTTAGTTTGATTCGTGGTACGGTGTTGACCTAATCGATGTCTACTGCAACATTTGGTTTTCAAATGTCAATCTTAATATTAATCATGATATTATTTTTGGAATATTTTTGCTATCACTCAAAAATGATTATACCTAGCTATTAGTTCTTCTTATTGTTTGACTACAACTCATAGTTTATTCATAACATGTTTTTATGCAAATTTCATTTATGTGAATTTTGTGTCGTTTTGTGTTTTCGTCAATATTTAACTCCAGTTATGACAAACAACAACATAGAACAAGGAATAATACAAAAAAAGAAATAGCTGTTTTGCAACTTTATTAATGATGAAGGTACAATAAAAGGAAATACAACTACCATTATGCTGTGTAATCTCCTATATATAGTACATTTTTCTTTCAATGATATAGTTAATACATATATAGATATTGTGCCCTTGCCATATAAACATATCTTGGGTACATTACATTAACTATATACATATAATACTACAAAAGGCCATCCATGAATCAACTAGGTCTTCATGACAAGTATATGCCTATATAGGCAAATTTTTTTACAGGGCTTCTATATATATATATATGATCATATTAGTTTAATTAACAGTAATTAATTAACAGAAATAGACATTTAAAAAACTCAGATCTCAGTCGAGTCAATCGGGTCAGATCTTGCCAGAAACACAAACGAGCATAGAATTGATGTTCCACGGCCGACCACTGCCACAACCACGGCCGTAGTAATTTCTGCTGGTGCCGGTCTCCCTCCGGCTCCTAGTGCTGCCGGAGCTCGCATCGGAGTTCGACGACATCGGGGATCGGTCGTCATGGGACGAAGAACGGGACATCGTCGACGACGAGAAGCTGGAATTGCATGAGGAAGCTATGATATCCCCTGCCTCATCCCAACTCCTCCTTCTTGTGTTCATATTGTTGTTATTATTACTATCGTTAACGTTCTCCAAGCTCCTTGCCTGCAAAAAGAGAATATTTCTATTCACACGTCAATCAATCAAACATTCACCTGAACATTTTTTTTTTCACGGTTGTAACGAATTGTAAAATCGATAATGCAAGAAAGTAAAAAAAATATATTCACGTAAGAGAGATCAGTTGTATTATACTTGATAAGATGCAAATTACAAACCTTCTTAGAATTTAGATGGACTAATCCTAATCTAACTTGAAAGGAAAAAAAATAAACTAGACCTAAAATAATAAAATTTATAATCTATCTTCAAATCATAGCAACCACGACGGACAATTTAACCTTGTAAGTATACCTGGGTGTGACGATGGCCGTACCACCGGCGTCGTGGTGTCCCGAGGAGGAACTTCCACAACAACTTGAGCTTCCGAGCATTATGGTAGGCAGCACCGGCGTGGTGGTTGATGGACGGTTTAGGGAGGGAGAGGCTAAGGAGGGCGGGCGGAGGGGTGATGGGGGGAATGGATTCCTCTTTGGGAGGATTGTTCTTAGGCGTCCCGGGCTGCGTCTCCCAATTGAAGGGCACCCCTTCGGCGGCCGACCGGTAATAAAATACCCGGCCGGAAGGGCAGCGGACGGAGGATGTGGAGGAGGAGTCACGTGAGATGACGCGGTTGTAGAACGTCTCGTCGCCATGGAGGACCGACGACGTCGACCTCGTTTCGGCACGGCGGTCGATCTCCATTGTTGTGTGGTGGTCAAACTTTGAGGAGTGGAATGGGATTTGAAATGAATTTTGGATTGTTGGAATGCATAAGAAGGGGAGAAAATTAGTGAAGGAGCTTTAGAGAGAGAAAGGGGTAAAGAGAGAGAGCGCTTCGACAAGTGATGATTTTGAGGTTCATTCATATATATATATATATATATAGGGAGGACTGAGGAGTAAGGGTGGGCAACAATCCAGTTCATAAAAAACCAAATAGTACCGAACCATATCAGAACGGTCCATGGATGAATGGTTCCCCTCCTCGGAAAAGAAGCGAGCATGAGGTTACCCAGTAGCTCGAACTTTGTGAGAGGAGTGAAGGAAGATCAGACAGGCTAGCGGTACGTAGGGCGTAAGGTAAAAAAAAAGGTAGGGGATAGTGAATAACGCGTAGGGCTAGGGACTAAATAAGTTTGAAAGATAGCGTAAGGGGTGTGGCTGAACCATATCGTATTAAATATATTTTGATTCGGTTTGGCTGAATTATTTTAATTATGAATAAAAATGGATAGAAATTGAACTTGGATGGAACCGAATCAAACCAAATGAACCAAACTTACTTTTAATATAATTTTAGTCCGCTTTTTCTTTTATTTTTTGTCAGATCCTATCTCAATTCGATCCGGTCCTAGACACCCAATCGACCTATTCCCATCCTAGGGAGTAGGGAGGAGGGGGACAATATCCTTGTTTTCTTGAATGACTTATATGATTGAATGATCATAGAGCTATTTGAGGATGTTACTAATTACATTTTTATCAGGATAAAAGGAGTGAAGCAAAAGAAAGGGTTATTTGAAGCTGAATTTCTATTTAACGCCCTAATTATTTAAATTTTTCGCCCTAAACTTACCAAAGGAGACAATTTTACCCTTAATTTAACCTAAATCCTAAAACGAGCTGCCGCTCAATTCTCTCCCTCTCCCGTTCCTTCGCCCCATTCTAGAAACAGAGGCGACCGCCCTGCAAACTCAGCAACAAGCCACCGCTTCTTCCTCATCCCCTCTTCTTCCTTAATGTGAAATCTGCTGCATAACAAGCAAAGTTGAGCATTAAGATGCCCCATTGTTGCTGGACACGATGATGTGCGGTTGACATGCTTTTATAGGCGACGGCAGAGGTGGGGTTCTCCTTCCAACGCCAACTAGGCGCTTGAGGTTGGTGATGATGGCGAAATCCGTATCAGAAGGGAAATCAACATTCCCAACAAGCTTGCAGCATCAAAGTAGCAGCGGTGACGGGAGAAAAATCCGGTCTTTGATTGCCGGCGGCATTTTTTATTTATTATTATTTGTGACCCGGCGGCATTCTTACGGCGATAAAATTGGGGCTAGGGCAATTTTGTCTATATATATTAATTAGGGCGAAAAAATTTAAAAATTTAGGCCGACAAATAGTATCTCTCAATTTGAAGAGTGTAATTTGCAAGCATCAAAATTCTTTTAAGGTGGTATATTATTCTAGCTTGAATTTTGATTGACTTTTTTGTTGGGGTTGTTTCTTTTGCATTAGCAAGTTAAGGACTTTTTGTTGCGGTTGTTGTTGCAAATGGGGGATTATAAATGGGTTTAAAACAAATCGCATATTTCCTGCCGTTGTTTTTGTAATAAGTAATGCTAGAAATAAAAATACTCAACTGATAATGAAGTCTATTGATCCTATTATCCTTGGGTGCTAATTCCATTAAGCACCGATTTGGGAAAATTTATTTTCAGAATGCATTTTCGTAATTTTTTGTGCGACGAAAGGCCATTTTTTTTGGATTTTGAAGGCTAAAAATCACAGATTCGGCGTGAGGCTACTCTTCAGCGATGATTAAGTCCATTAAGCACAAATTTGGGCGTATTTATTCCGGGTCAATTTTTGTCAGATTCCAAAGGGGTACCATCACAGATTTTGGGCGATTTTTCCGAAATGCCATTTTCTTTCGATTTTGGATGATGCAGATCACGGAATCAGGCCGAAGATATTCTCCACTGATAATGAAGTCTATTGATCCTATTCTCCACGGGTGATAAGTTATTAAGCACTGATTTGGGCCAATTTATTTTCGGATGACATTTTCGTAATTTTTGGGCGACGAAAGGCCATTTGCTTTGGACTTTGAACGCTACAGATCACGGATTCGGCTTGAGGCTATTCTTCAACGATGATTAAGTACATTAAACACCAATTTGGGCACATTTATTTCAGGTCCATTTTTGGCAGATTCCAAAGAGGTACCATCACAGATTTCAGGCGATTTTTCCGAAATGCCATTTTCTTTCGATTCTAGAGGCGGCAGATCACGGAATCAGGATGATGCCATTCTCCACCTATAATGAAGTCTAGTGATACTATTCTCCACGGGTTATAAGTGTCCATTAAGCACCAATTTGAGCCAATTTTTTTCGGATGGCATTTTCGTAATTTTTTGGGCGACGAAAGGCCATTTTCTATGGATTTTGAAGGCTACAGAGCACGGATTAGGATTGAGGCTATTATTCAAAGATGATTAAGTCCATTAAGCACCGATTTGGGCGGATTTATTTCAGGTCAAATTTTGGCAGATTCCAAAGGGGTACCATCACAGATATCAGGCGATTTTTCCGAAATGCCATTTTCTTTCGATTCTGGAGGCAGCAGATCACTGAATCAGGCCGAGGCTATTCTCCACCGATAATGAAGTCTAGTGATACTGTTCTCCACGGGTGATAAGTCCATTAAGAACCGATTTGAGCCAAAAAATTTTCTGATGGCATTTTCGTAATTTTTGGGCGATGAAAGGCTGTTTTCTTTGGATTTTGAAGGCTACAGATCACGGATTCGGCTTGAGGCTATTCTTCAACGATGATTAAGTCCATTAAGCACCGATTTATGCGGATTTATTCCGGGTCAATTTTTGTCAGATTCCAAAGGGGTACCATCACAGATTTTGGGCGATTTTTCCGAAATGCCATTTTCTTTCGATTCTGTAGGCTGCAGATAATGGATCAGGACGAGGCTATTCTCCACCGATAATGAAGTCTATCGATCCTATTCTCCATGGATGATAAGTCCATTAAGCACCGATTTGTGTTAATTTCTTTTCGGATGGCATTTTCGTAAATTTTTGGGCGATGAAAGGCGATTTTCTTTGGATTTTGAAGGCTACATATCACGGATTCGGCCTGACGCCATTCTTCAAGAATGATTAAGTCCTTTAAGCACCGATTTGGGCAAATTTATTCCGGGTCAATTTTTGGCAGATTCCAAAGGGGTACCATCATAGATTTCGGGCGATTTTTCCGAAATGCCATTTTCTTTCGATTCTGGATGCTGCAGAACACAGAATCAGGCCGAGGCTATTCTCCACTTATAATGAAGTCTATTGACCCTATTCTCCACGGTTGATAAGTCCATTAAGCACCGATTTGGTCCAATTTATTTTCGGATGACATTTTCGTAATTTTTTGGGCGACGAAAGGCCATTTTCTTTGGATTTTGAAGGCTACTGATCACGGATTCGGCTATTCTTCAACGATGATTAAGTCCATTAAGCACTAATTTGGGCAGATTTATTTCAGGTCAATTTTTGGCAGATTCCAAAGGGGTACCATCTCAGATTTGGGGCCATTTTTCCAAAATGCAAATTTTTTTCGATTCTTGAGGCATCAGATCACGAAATGAGGCCGAAGCTATTCTCCACCGATAATGAAATCTATTGATCCTATTTTCCACGGATAATAAGTCCATTAAGCACCGATTTGTGCCAATTTTATTTCGGATGTAATTTCCGTAATGTTTTGGGCAACGAAAGGCCATTTTCTTTGGATTTTAAAGTCTACAAATCCCGAATTCGACCTGAGGCTATTCTTCAACGATGATTAAGTCCTTTAAGCACCGATTTGTGCGGATTTATTCAGTGTCAATTTTTCCAGATTCCAAAGGGGTACCATCACAGATTTCGGGCAATTTTTCGAAATGCCATTTTCATTCGATTATGGAGGCTGCAGATCACGAAATCATTCCGAGGATATTCTCCACTATTAATGAAGTCTATTGATCCTATTATCCACGGGTGATAAGTCCTTTAAGCACCGATTTGGGCCAATTTATTTTCGGATGACATTTTCGTAATTTTTTGGGCGACGAAAGGCCATTTTCTTTGGATTTTGAACGCTACAGATAACGGATTTGCCCTGAGGCTATTCTTCAACGATGACTAAGTCCATTAACCACCGATTTGGGCGGATTTATTCCGGGTCAATTTTTGGCAGATTCCAAAGGGGTACCATTACAGATTTCGGGCGATTTTTCGAAATTCCATTTTCTTTCGATTATGGAGGCAGCAAATCACGGAATAAGGCCGAGGCTATTCTCCACCGATAATGAAGTCTATTGATCCTATTCTCCACGGATGATAAGTCCATTAAGCACCGATTTGGGCCAATTTATTTTCGGATGACATTTTTGTTATTTTTTGGGCGACGAAAGACCATTTTCTTTGTATTTTGAAGGCTGCAGATCACGGATTCGGCTTGAGGCTATTCTTCATTGATGATTAAGTCCATTAAGCACCGATTTGGCAAGATTTATTTCAGGTCAATTTTTGGCAGATTCCAAAGGGTTACCATCACAGATTTCAGTCGATTTTTTCGAAATGTCATTTTCTTTCGATTGTGGTGGCAGCAGTTCACGGAATCACGCCGAGGCTATTCTCCACCGATTATGAAATCTATTGATCCTATTTTCCACTGATGATAAGTCCATTAAGCACCGATTTGGGCCAATTTATTTTCAGATGACATTTCCATAATTTTTTTAGGCGAGAAAGGCCATTTTCTTTGGATTTTGAAGGCTACAGATCACGGATTCGGCCTGAGGCAATTAATCAATGATTATTAAGCCCATTAACCACCGATTTGGGCAGATTTATTCTAGGTTAATTTTTGGCAGATTCCAAAGGGGTACCATCACAGATTTCGGGCGATTTTTTCGAAATTCCATTTTCTTTCGATTCTGGAGGCCGCAAATCACGGAATCAGGCCGAGGCTATTCTCCACTGATAAAGAAGTCTATTGATCCTATTCTCCAAGGATGATAAGTCCATTAAGCACCGATTTTGGCCCATTTAATTTCGGAATGCATT